TACAGATTATTGTTATGTACACGTATCAAAATTATTTATAATTTATTTTCAGATGATGAATAAAGATTCGTCTACAACAGATCTAGAAACTAAACAGTCTTTGCTTAGTGCAGAGATATTGATGCACGAAGCTAAGATCCAGCAGCTAACTGATGAGAACCAAGAGCCTATGACCCAGAGAGACGAACTGGATCCTGCCATGACAACAAAAAGAGCAGTACCAGACACTACTCGTGCAGACTCAGCTGGCAAAGAGGGACCAGTAGCACTGAAACTAGAAGAGGACGTGTCCAGTTTGAGAGAGAAGTGGTCAGAGTTGAATGCTCAACTGGAAGAGAGTCAGGGAACCATTGCAGAGCTCACAGGACGTGAGCTTGTACTAACTAGTCAATTGGACCAGTCTTCAGCTCGTGTGGTTGTACTGGAGTCACTGCTACAGGCCCAATCAACAAGCCTCATGGGCCAAGAGGAACTACTGACTAAGAATAAATCAGCATTGAATATACTGAGAGAAGAGATTGAGGATACTAAGAATAGCTATGAGATATCCTGCCAGGAGGTACTGTTCAAATGTACATGTACAATGTGTACATAGGTGGACTGCATGCACATACATATACATGTACTACATACTGTATTTCCTTAAATAAAAGCCCGGGCTTCCATTTCCTAAAATGGCATTTGGACCTCAAAAAAATTAAAATAAAACTCTGGCCCAGAGTGGGATTCAAACCTGGCACCTCATGCATTTGACTTCAGGAATCTAAGGAAGTATCTAAAAGGCATCTGAGTTATTTCTCAGTTAGATTTGGGTATTTATACATGTACATGTGTAGTTCAATTCTATTGCTACCTCGGTGTTTATTTGCATCCAGCTTTATTTAAGAATATACGGTACATGTATTCTGATCCGGGTTTCCCTTTGTTTTTATACGTATACAGTACATGTTCTGGTGCTATATAGAAATTTTGAGCTGATTTTGATAAAAATTGAATTTTTACAAATTTTTAAAGTTACTCAAAAATTGAGACAAAGTCCCTGTACTATAGTACAGGGTCTTTGGCCAAATTTTGCTAAAAATGACTAGGAGAGAATTCTCCATTTTAATAATATTTTCTGATACATATACATGTTCTTATGTTGCGTAGCAAGTTTCAGTTGATTCCGATGAAATTTGGATTTTTTTACAAATTTTAAAAATTAATCAAAAATTGAGACAAAGTCCCTGTACTATAGTACAGGGTCTTTGGCCAAATTTTGCTAAAAATGACTAGGAGAGAATTCTCCATTTTAATAATATTTTCTGATACATATACATGTTCTTATGTTGCGTAGCAAGTTTCAGTTGATTCCGATAAAATTTGGATTTTTTTACAAATTTTAAAAATTAATCAAAAATTGAGACAAAGTCCCTGTACTATAGTAAAATGAGTAGGAGAGCATTTTCCATTTTTATAATATTTTCTGATACATATACATGTTCTTATGTTGTGTAGCAAGTTTCAGTTGATTCTGATGAAATTTGGATTTTTTACAAATTTTAAAAGTTACTCAAAAAGCCATGTACATGTATGTACATGTACTTTGTAGTACTTGTCAGTTCATAAAGCTCATGCTGTTTAGCTCGCATAAAATCATGATTATAATTAATTCATTTGTATGTGTACAATTACATGTACCGTATTTCCTTAAATAAAAGCCTGGGCGTCTATTTCCTAAAATGGTATTTGGACCTCGAAAAAATATATAAAAAATTAAAAAACTTAGGCCCAGAGCGGGGTTCGAACCCGTGAGCTCATGCTTTTGACTTCTGGAACTTCAGGCATTATCCACTAGACTACTGAGTCACTCCTAGTCTAGTGTTGCGTATTTATAGTTAAATTGTATTGCTACCCCGGCGTTTATTCAAATGCGGCTTCTATTTAAGGATTTACGGTACATGTACATGGAATGTTTTGTGTGTTGTAGATGAGAGAGCTACAGGAGAAATTGAGGAGTGCCATGATGTGCAGTGTGGAAGAGTCAAGACAGCAAGTAAACCAACATTATGTGTACATGTACATGTACATGTACAGGGTACATGTACATGTACAGGGTACAGTGTAATGCATGTAGTCTATTATAATTATACCTTAAGCCTACTATTTTTAGCGTCTACTAAATTTAGCTATAATTAGCGAGAGAGCTTTAAATCGCTAAATTAAATAGACGCCAAAATAATTATTATTCATTACAATGGTTATTATTTATAGTTAATTTGGTAAAAACG